CCCCAGCGCCCCTCGGAGCCCAAGGCTCACCTCCCCACCCCCACTCCACCCCTAAAGGGGACAAACTTTCCCACCCCGACGCCCCTTCGCGCCCTCCCGCCGCGCCGGTCCGCCCTCGCGGGCCGGCCCCTTGGCTCCTCCGCCGAGTGTCCGAGCTCCTCACGCCCGCCGCCGGGGCGGAGCGGGCAGCCTCGGGGACAGAGGAGGGGCTGGCCAGCGCCGGCGGTGCGTCCCCTGAAGCGTGTGCACCTCGAAGTGATTCTTTATCTTCGGGGCAAGAAGAGTCAACTTACCTGGAGGGGGTGGGGGGGGCCGGAGAGAGAAGGTCAATTTCAGAGGTTTGAAGTGAAAATTTGACGAGACAGAAGTTTTACAATCTAGGACTTTAACCTCATTTTAATGAATGCAGTTGAGATTACTTTTGTTGAATAGCTCTTTTATATTTAGGGAGGCCTTAGGGCTAACTTGTTTATGGGGAAACATGTGGGTTATTTAAAGTAAATACACTCAAATAACAGTAAAACTGGTTGAAAAACTATTTTTTAACGCCTCTATTTCATAGTAACGAAGTATTAGAGATTCTCATACATTTTTGTGGAACCTTAACTTTTTTTTTAAAAAGGAGTTATAAGATTTAAACATAATTCTGTTCTTTTGACCGTAATTCATTCAAAGTGCAGAGGATGTGAATAATCAGTTTCAATTATTTGTTTTTATTTAGTGTCACTTTCACTTTCTTTTCTATATCATTGAACTAAGTCACAATGGTTTGTAAAAGCTTAATGTTTTGGCTAGTCATTTTTTCTACTTAAAAATAAAGTCAAGGTGGTGTCTTTTGAAAGGTTGTGCATCTTTCTCTTAAATGCTACGAGAATGCAGATTACATTGTTGATAAAGAGGCAAGAATGTAACAGTTTCTTTGTACACAGATTGCTATTACTACCTCAATGTATGTGGAGTGCCACAAGGTTTAAGTAGTGATTTTTTTTTTAAAGATGGAAAAGAATAATGCATTCCAGCATTTGGTCAATACCATATAAAAGACAGAATTTTAAGACTTTGGAATAAAAGATTGTGTTTAAAGGCATAAGAAACACTTACGAAGTCAGTTTGTCTATTTGCTCCACATAACTTTCAACCATGATTCATGTACTCATTTTTAAAGCATCTTTTTGTATGTCACTAGATGTTGAGAAAATTTTTTAAGTTTTCGTTGAAATCTATGCTTAATATTTATAACAGTGGTGTTTAGAAATCTTGAGACTAGAGATCACATAACCCTAAGTCCGATATAATAGGTTAGTTCTATAGCAGATGGTGTTTGTTTGATATCTTATGGTTTTAGGGTATGAATTCTTCCAACAAGTGAAAGAGAATGAATGATTTTGGTTTGTTTTTCCAAAATTACAATAATACATGATTATTGATAACTCAGTGATACAAACTATTGTATACTTTCCTTAATTTTTTTTCATTTTAAAGATTTTTTTCCCAAATAAGGTAATTGGAATAACTAAAATACTGTTTATTGGTCATTTGTTAATGCTTGTCCTGAGGGATGTTTATTTTGGGAAAATCAGTTTTTGCTTTAATGTTACTGTAAATGAGGCTGTATTAACTTTTCCTTGTCAACACTTATTCTGGCGTGCTTCCTTTTCCTCCCCCTCTTCTTCCTTTTTTGTTTTTTTATTCTTACCTCCACACTCTTTCATCATTTCTTGACTGTTAGATGAGGGAAATGTAAGCTTTAATTGGATAAGATGGCTCAAGCTTTTTTTTTTGACTGAAGGAAGGTCATATATTTTAGATTGATTTAAAATTTCATTTAAAAAATTTCATTAAGCTCTGACATTTTATTTTCTATTTCTGTTTATAGAAGGTACCAATAAAATTCTTAAGGTCATACTTTTTTTGGGGTGATAATCGTGTCTGAGTTAAAAACAAAAATTGAGGCTTTTAAACGATATTGTGAGCAAGCAGTGCATCAGAACATTTGCTGAGGTTGTTACATGGACATTTTTCACGTTACTATACTGAATCTTTTTTTAAGACAACTTTTAAAGTGTATTCCTACTTTAAACATTTTTAAGGATTAAATGAGGTTTAAATTGCTCAGCACAAACAGGTGCTAAAAGCAAACACTAGGTAACATCTTATCTCCAGGATCCATTCATTTAATACATGTATGGAAAACACTCTCTATGGTAGGTCAGAGGATATGCATGAGAACATAGTGGAGAGCAACAAGTAGAATGGCTGTGGAGTAGATGCTGAAGTATTATGGTAGACACCATCACTGGGCTGCTGTAAGAGCTTTATATGAAGGAGCGGTTCTAACCCAGTCTTTAGGGGAGTGGTCATCAAGGAAGGGTTCTGAAGTAAGTGAATTCTAAACTGAGAAGTGTTAACTGGCCAGAGGTAGAAGAATGGAAGAGAATAAAATAATAGCATGAGCAGAGCCCAGAGAGAACAGGTAGAAGTGGAAGCTGGCGAGTGTGGTGGAGCGGTTACTAAGTCAGATGGTACCAAGTCTAGGTATTAGGAAGTTGTGCTGTGTGTTTGTGTCGTGTTGCTGGGGTAAGGGGGTGGCAGTTAGGATGTGCCTGAAAGGTTTTCTGAGGGGCAGTGGTATGCTAGATTTAGTTGTCACTGGCCAGTTTTGGAGACATTCCTACAAGTATGTGTTGACTAGGGTGGTATAATCAGAAGGAACACCAGTCAGGAATATTAAACTTGGTGCTAGTTCTGGTTGCTGACTGGTTTGGGGGTTCACTTTGCCATTGTATAGATCTCTTTGATTTCTCATAGTTCATTAGGAAAATTAAGTTAATTTATATGATTAAATCAGTGCTTTTGAACATATTTTCAACTAGTGGTAGTCCTAAGATTTTAAAATAGGACTAACAAAAATTATAATTACGTACTTATATTTGTGTTCAAATTTGATGTTAGTAATGTCTTATGGGGTTCATTTTAAAAATCATAACAAACCATAAAAATGATCCAGTACAGAAAAATGTGTTTCAAAGGTGAAGCCTTTTGTATTAAAAAAAGCATATATGTATTTCAAACAATATCAGTTTGGACTTCAAGCTCAAAGTTAAATCTAGATTTTTCTCTTCATTCAGTTTAAACCTGTAACCCGAGGAATTAGATACGAGTTGAAAATCAAGTCCAATGTGTTAGTGCTTTTGACATTCTAGTTCTAAGCAGTAGAAAGGGAAAATATAGGTATTTAGTATAAATATGTAAATATAGAAAATGAGGTATCTGGTTATAAACTGAAATATCAGTGCCTTAGGGGAAATGAGCTGGAGTGAGAAGTTCTAATCAAATACTTAATTGAAGACTTTATAATAAAAATTGTTGATATTTTCGGATTAGCATAATACATAATGTCCCAAAGAAATGACTACAAAGTGTTAGAAAATACTGTTTTTATACTTGGGTGACTTGCTTAAAAATAATTTAAAATGATGAGTGTGACTTTTGATTATCTAGTGATGGAATAAGGAGATTACTTTTCTCACTTTATGAGATGTATGCTTTTCATCTTTTGCAGAGTTGAACAATGACTATAGTTGACAAAGCTTCTGAATCTTCAGACCCCTCAACCTATCAGAATCAGCCTGGCAGTTCTGAGGCTGTCTCACCTGGAGACATGGACGCAGGTTCTGCAAGCTGGGGTGCTGTGTCTTCCTTAAATGATGTTTCAAATCACACACTTTCTTTAGGACCAGTACCTGGTGCTGTAGTTTATTCAAGTTCATCTGTACCCGATAAATCAAAGCCATCACCACAAAAGGATCAAGGTACCACTTTATGAAGAAAGAATAACTACCAGAAATTTCTTTATAAATGCTTCCAGTGGGTTGGTAGTTTCTGAGAGGGGCTTAATTTGCATGATACCACTTGAGTGGCTATTGGAATTATATTATCTGATGGAATTGTGTGTTCATGATTAATGGATATATCACAACACTGTAGGTTAGTTTTAGTTCTTTGATATCTGTAGTTTCCTTTAGTACTACTTTTTGAAGGGTTAATTTTATCTTGGTGAGAATTGAGGTGGACAAGCATTACATTAACTTATCAGCTAACTATAATTCTTTAAGTACAAGTTTGTCTTTTAAAAATTTTAGGATTTTTTAAAATGAACTCTACTATTTGTTCATAGCTAGTTAAGATCATCCTTAGTAATAGAGCCTATTGAAAAAGAGCAGATAATATAAAAGTTACATTTGTTGAAACAATATAAATGTGGTAACATTTGTTTAAACTTATCCAGCTAAGTTAGGCACTGATACTATTAGCTGGTACTTCTAAGAAGACTTGGAGTTTGCATGCTTTGAAACATAAAGGAAGGTAATAGAGTTAGTTCCTAGTGAACAATTTGACCCTTTTATTGTTATGAGTCTTAGTAAGTATAATACTGTAATGATGCTGGTTGGTATGGCTTGCTGAAGGTGTTTTGAGTTGTGGGAGGAGGAATATTTCACACGACACAGCAGTTGGAATGAATGTTACACATAGAGGTTTAATGGCCTTCACCAGCAGGGTAGATTCTCTGTGGACTCCAGACTCCCTTCATGTTGCTGGGGCTCCTGTCTCCCTGAGGAAGTTGCTCACATTTCCCCACCTTGCCTCTTCTGAAACCTTCATTTCGCACTCCACAGACTCATTTCTCTTTTCCTAGTTTTGTTCTCTGTCCACCACCAAACTAAAACCTGTCTTTGCATGCATCAGTACTCATCAATAACTGTTAGATCAAGAATCATCCATTGGGTGTCTCAACCTTTGGTAGCACTAAGGAACTGGCAGACTTTTGAAACTGGTTGTGCTATTCCTAAATAAGTTTTTTTTGAGCTTTACCTGAGTTCTGTTAGCATAATTAATCACTAATAATTTGCTTATAAATATTAAAAACAAATAGATGTCTTTTTAGCCACATATAGTATACCTCTTAGTGTGTGTCATGGTGTCCTACAGCCTGAATTCAAAACCTTGCAGGTACTGGTTTTGTTTTACTGGTAAAATAGGGATGACATCATCACTATGGATCATTAGAATTGAGATTGACAGTAAATTAGTGAGGCTTAGTAAGTGAGATGATGGTGACAGTGGTGGTAGTGGTATGGAATATAAACAACTGCAGAAAGTGTTACAAAGAACCAAGTTATTCCATACTTTCTAGTGACTATATTGTTGTATATATTTTTTAAGTTTTTGTTATAAGAAATTTTAAGTAAACATAAGAAAGAGAAAAATTATACCCAATATCAGTGTTCTTATTCCTCTGAGACTCATCTCTCCCCCCCCCACCCCCCCCCCGGTCATTAAACCAAATCCAAGACTTCACATATTTTTAGTGTGGATAGCTAGAGAATTCTTTATATTTAAAGATTAAAACATCTTTAAACAAAATCAAAATAGAAATTTCTCTGGTTGTCATATAATTTTTTTAACAGCAGACACTATATGTTTGGTGGATATATCTTTTAAGTTTCTTTTATTCTGTAAGTCCTCCCAATTGCCAGTTATGGTCTAGAAGTTTATTTATTGAAAAAACCAAATCATATAGTTTCTCACATGTCTTTTAAGATAACTCTCCCCTGTATTTTTGGATATCTGGTAATAAGATTTAGACTCTTGATCAGATTCTGGTTTGATATGTTGCTATATTAGCTTCAGGAGCATATTAAAGCTTTTCACTTAAACATATGTTATTTATTTTTCTAGCTCTAGGTGATGGCATTGCTCCTCCACAAAAAGTTCTTTTCCCATCTGAGAAGATTTGTCTTAAATGGCAGCAAACTCATAGAGTTGGAGCTGGGCTCCAGAATTTGGGCAATACCTGTTTTGCCAATGCAGCATTGCAGTGTTTAACTTACACACCGCCTCTTGCCAATTACATGCTATCACATGAACACTCCAAGACATGTAAGTGCTTTGTGTTGTAGTACATGTTTGATACTGTTATAGTATGCTAACCTACTTTCATTTTTTTCCCCTCTTTGAAATGAAGAACTAAGACGTCTGTGATCAATAAGAAGTTGGTTTGTTTTCTCAGAAACCACAGAGTAAGACTCTTAGGATTTATATTCAGCTGCATATAAAGCAATTTTGCACCAATTTGACCTGTGAGCTTATTGTAAAATAAACTTTTTATCAGCATTTGACATTTCTGAACCCCCTTTCTAGTTTTCCACACTTGCTAAAAATTGTGTCTTCATTGTCTGCTTCCAACAATTGAAACAAGCTAGAATAAATTCTGTTGACATCCATCCCGTATCTTAAGGTTTGATTCATTTATTGTAGGCTTATTAGCTTCACAAGAAGAGAACCCTCTGGCCCTCCCTGGTGACACAGTGGGTTAAAGCATAGGACTTGCAGGCTGGTCGCAGCCACTTCATTGTGAATTCGATCCCTGGTGGTCTGGGAGGTGACTCACGTGTTGCAGCAGTCCTCTCCTGTCTTACCTGCTGCTCCCCTCAGCAGTGTACTTCGGGCAATCTGCCTGTTCTGCTCCCCACTCTGTCTCCCTCTCACCACCCCTGTACCTCTGGCCTGTACCCCAGTTCTGTATGCATAAATAGATAAATCTTTTATAAAAACAAAGAAAAGAACCCTTTTCTTGCTGCCCTCCCCCAGCTATTGGAAAACCATGTAGGACTTTTCATTTACCATGTGTAAGACCAGTTTTCAACCTAAAAGGCAGGGAATCAGTTAAAACATTGAGCCCTTAGTTAGGTGAGAGCCAGCTCAGTGGTTTGACCATAGGAATTCAGAATTTAGATTTTTTTTTGAGTCTTTGGCCTTCTACATATATTGTAAATAGCCATCCTCCTTTATAAATAAAATCTCTCTCTGATCAACACCTTATGCTCAATTTGATGTATATACATTCAGGTGCTGTTCATTAACTGTCAGTATAAAGAAAAGCTCTTTGATTTCTTCTTGAATAGTTTTTTACTTAATGGAGAATTTAAACTGGTTCTTTCAAAACTCCCTCTTCCCCCAAAGAACAAAATAGGCTTCTAAAGAATATGGAAAGTACAGGGGAAAATGTAAAGAAACCAGAGGAAATTCACTTAGAATCTCATTGCCTGGAGGGGTTTGCTACACCAAAGAGTTTAAATTACAGAATGAAATGACTGCCCTCATTTTCTCTCTTTAAAAGTTCATAATTCATTCCCATAGACAGCTTTCCTGTTACTTTTGTGCTTAAGAAAAGCAGGGTGTGGATGGAAAACTAAAATAGGCAGCCGGACAGCAAGGAGAATCGAGACAAAAATTCAGAAGCTCCCACTGTCCAGAATTAGGTGTCTATATTTTTTGCTATTGATAGTTTTCCTACTTTCTCTTTGTTTTCTCAATTTTATCAAGGTATAGTTAAGATCTAATAAATTTCACATATTTTAAAATTTGATGCATTTTGAAATTTATATATACCCATGAAGCTATCACAATTGCAATAATGAACATTGTCCACTAAATTTGCTAATGCTCCTTTATTTATTTATTTTTAAAGATTTATTTATTTATGCATACAGAGCTGGGGTACAGACCAGAGGTGCAGGGGTGGTGAAAGGATTCACCAGAGACAGAGTAGGAAGCAGAACAGGCAGACTGACGAAGTACACTGCTGAGGGGAGCAGCGGGCGGGCCAGGAGAGGTCTGCCACTCCATGTGGTCAGCAGGCGGGTATCGAATTCATGCTGAAGCGGCTTTAGCTTCTTAGTGCTGCGCTTTAACGCGCTGCGCCACCGGGGAGGGCCGCTAGTGCTCCTTTTAAATTGCCCCCTTTTGGGCCCTCCCCGGTGGTGCAGTGGATTAAAGCACAGCACTAAATTACCCCCTTTCAACTCTTTTCTTACCCTCATCCCCTCTGCTCTAGGCAACCACTAATATACTGTCTGCTATAAATTCATTTATATTTTCTAGAATGTTAGGTGAAATTATACTTTGTATTTTCTTATATTGCCTGTTTTTTTTTTCAGTCAATTATTTTGAGAATATTCTATGTTGTTACCTCTGTCAAGAGTTAATTTTTCTTCCTGAGTAGTATTCCATTGTATAAGTTTTACCACCATTTATTTCTCTATATCTATTGATCAACATTTGGATTATTTCCCATTTTGTACTATTACAAATTAAGCTATTGTGGGCCCTCCGTGGTGGCGCAATGGGTGAAAGCACAGCACCACGAAGCTAGCCACAGCCGGTACAGCACAAGTTTGACTCCCCAGCCACATGGCGCGGCTGACCTCTCTTGTCTTGCCCGCTCCTCCCCTTAGCAGTGTACTTCATCGACCTGCCTGTTCTGCTCCCCACTCTGTCTCTGGTGACGCTTCTCACCGCCCCTCCATCTCTAGCCTTACTCTAGTTCTATGTGCATGAAATAAATAAAAATCTTTAAAAGCAAAACAAGACAAAAAAAAAACAAAGTAAGCTACTAAGCTACTATGATTCACTTTCAACAAAATGGAGAGATTTTGAGAGAGTGGTATGCTGCAAGATGATCAAAGTGATAAAAACAAATATTGGACATTCATGTAGCAGGCAATTCAACAGTATTAAACACTTTCAAAAACTAATAGACATAACAAACATCTTGAGGACCCTGTGTTGAAAAGGGAGGGTGAAAGGAAAGGAACAGGAGGATACAAGGGATGGTGGTACGTACAATAAATAAATAAAAAAAACCCATGCACACACAAAATAAGCTCTTGTGAACATTTGTAAACAAGTCTTTGAAAGGACATGTTCTCATTTCTCTTGAATCAATAGGAGTAGAATGACTCGGTCCTATGGTAAATGTGTGCTTAACCTTAAGATATTTCCAAAGAAATTGTATTTTACATTCCCACCAGCAGTGAATGAAAGTTCTAATTGCTCATTCTTTTTGGTTTCAGCCATTTTAGTAAGTGTGTAATATAGTAGTCTCTTCTGTGGTTTTTATTTGCACTTTGTTAAGGAATGATGATGTTGAACATCTTTCCATCTGACTGCCACCTCTGTTTACTTCGCCGAAGTGTTTGTTCATGTCTTCTGCCCAGTTTGGGATACTGAATTTTGAGAGTTCTTTATATATTCTTGACCTAATTTTTTTTATTTTATCAGTGATTAGCAAATGTTATCTCCCAGTCTGGAGAAAGTAGTTTCTTCACATTGTCTTTCAAAGAGCATGCTTTTAGTTTTTGAAGAATTCCACTTCAGTATTCTTTTCTTTTTGTCAGTTGTGCTTTAGGTATTTTATGAAATCTTTGCCTAAGCAGAGGTCACAAAGAATTTTTTTGTCTTCTTGGAGTTTTTTAGTTTTGGTTTTTGTATTTAGGTCAATGATCCATTTTAAGTTAATTTTTATAACACAAAGAATGGTCAAAGTTCATATTTTCTAATATACGTATTCAATTGTGCTAGCACTATTTATTAAAAAAATAGTCCTTTCTTCGCTGAATTATCTTTGCGTCTTTATAAAATATCAATCGACCATGTATGTATACATCTATTTCTGGAATTTATTCTGTTATACTGGTCTACACTATCTTGGATACAGTATTTGGATTATTATATTTTTTAAATCAGATAAATTCTCCAACTTAATTCTTTTTCAAAGTTTGGCCATTCTTTTGTATTTACAAATGAATTTTGTAATCTATTTGTCATTGTCTACAGAATACTTTCTAGAATTTTATTTGGAATTATAATGAACCTCCAAGTCAATTTGTGATGACTTGAGATCTAAATGTTGCTGCCTTCTGACCCACAATGTTTACCTCTACATTTATCTAGTCTTTAATTCTTCTTAGAATAGTGCATAGTTTTTAATAATTGTAATGTGCACATTTAAAAATAAGATTTATCCTTAAGTATTTCATACTTCTGAAAATATCATAAATGGTAATGTTTTTGGTTTATTTTCTGCTTGTTTTCTTGTATAGTACAGAAATGTAGTTTATTTTTGGGTATCAATTTTGTATCCCACAACCTTGCTAACCTATTTTTAAGGGATTCCTTAAGATTTTATATAGACATTTGTGATATGTGAATAGGAAATTTTAATTATTCATTTCCAGTTAGTCTCCATGCTCTTTATTTCTTTTTCTTGCTGTGGTGCCCTGACTAGTACCTCCATTATAGTGTTGAATGGATGTAGTAAATGAGATAGATTATACCTCTCTGTTTTGATTTAGGGGAAAGCATTTAGATTTCAGTGTGAATACAGTATTGCTGTAGACTTTTCATAGGTGCCTTTTACCAGGTTGAGTGTTTGCTTGAATGTTAAACCAAATGGCATTCCTGAGATAGGAGTTGCATTTAGTTATGATGTATTATTTTTTTCATGTATCATTGAATTTGCTAAAAAAAATTAAAACTTTATGCTCATTAGAGAGCTTAGTTTATAGTTTCTTTTTTTGTGTGTGTTAAAGCTTCTCCTGGTTTTGACATCAGTGTAACAGTAGAAACATGGACTGTGTTGAAATATATTTTGTTCGATTTCTTGGAAGAGTTTGTTTAGAACTGGTGTTATTTTTTCTTTAAATATTTGGTAGTTCATCAGTGAAATTGCCCAGGCCTTGTAGTTTTCTCATGGGGAGATTTTTTTAACCTACATATTAATTTCTTTAAGCATTATAGGCCAATGTAGATTATCTGTCTTATCACCAGGAGTTTTGGTAGTTTGTGTTTTTGAATGAATCTGTCTTAGTTGAATGTATTGGCATAAAATTGTCATCATGTTTCTTTCTGTTGCTTGTCCTATTTTACATTTTTATTGAGGTAATACTGGTTCACAATACAGTTTATGATTCCCAGGCATAAGATCACACCTCAGATACATATCATCACCCCACACCAATCCCAAGGTACTCAGTTAGTGTTTACTTATTATCCTTTTAATTCTTTCTTTCTTTCTTTTTAAAGATTTATTCATTTAT